ACATATGAATAGCCATAGGATGGCTATAGATGGCGTGAGCTCAATCTGGTGCCAATCTACTGTTGGGAGTGGCCATGGATTTTCTTGTCCCATGAATACCTAGGCTACCTCACTCCAATTGAAGATTTTTGAGATGGGGACCACACTGTTCCAACTCAGCTGATAATAATCATGGATGACCTCTGGTGAGAACATGATCCAGTTACCCCTAGCCCATGTCTGATGCATATGTTCCATCCCAGGAGTATCGATCTCGGTGTTGAAGTTTGCATAGAACTCCTTAACTAAGTTTTCATAGACAGGGTGAGGTCATTCCACCACTTTTTCCCATCCACAAATTTGGACTAAGTTGACTATCTCAAAATCGGGAAAATCATCTAACTTAACGGGTCTCTCTAAGAGTGTTGCCCAATGGTGAATAATGTTTGAAAAATGGGCTGCAGTCTTGGGGGTGAGAAATCTCCTTATGCTCCCTTCGAGTTCTCTAGTATGTGCGATGCCTGAGGAAGATCCCACTTTTTTCTTGCTCTTCGATGTTCTATTAGGTGGCATCCTGCAAAAGGGTGTAATAGCGTATTAGAACACCAAGGTGTAAATGGATAGTGACAAGGAAAGACCAAATGAATATAAAAGTATAATCCCCAAACTTGCTTTAATGTGCATGTGTGCAAAGTTGGTGTGTAAAATTTAGCAACTATGCCTCAAAATCGTTGTTAGATCATGCAAGTGTCAAACACCAACAAAACTTAGCTCAATTATGCATTTTGTTCACTTTGGACCTGTGATCGACTTAGGACTTTCACCCCCGAGCACCGTCGAGAAATATCAAAATTTCACCGGGTGATCTCTAGGCATATGGAAGTTCCATTTACTCTAGCACATATTCGAATTTTGGGTCATTTGAATATACTTTGGGATGTCAAATTACAGGGCCAAGTGGGTGACGTGAGTTGTCATGGGGTAGTCATGTCATGCCTACGTGTGTGCATTATGGGGTTTGATGATTTTCTACCTTATTTACCGAGACATCTATCATAATACTCAAGACTATATAGATGTTGATTACCCCCATTGGAACCTTCACAAAATTTCACAAAACCCTTCCCTTAGGACTTGTAACAAACACCTTTTTTGCATAATGGAACTTTCTTGACTTTAAGCATTGATGCTATATAGTTTAGCTCCTTTGTTTCACAAATCAATCACAAGCATAAACAAAAATACTCAATCTCTATCAATTACCCAAAAATAAAGCAAGATATCTCAATTTTGAAATTAATAGAACATGATTTAGAAAACTTACCTTGCCAAAATTGTAGAGATTTGGACAAATGAAAACCACCACTAAGGTAATGCAAGATGATGATGTGATGTGAGTTATGAATTTTGTTGATTGTGATGAGTTTTGGCTCTTTTATTGTGGTCGTGAGTTGAGAGGGCTGGGGAAAGAGAAAGAGCCGTGTATTTGGAGGGAAAGATGTGTGATTTGTGTGTGATTTTTGGGTTTCACGTGTGTTTTAAATTATTATTTTTTTTTCCGAATTTGCATTTCACGTGAGTTTTAAATTATTATTTTTTTTCCGAATTTGCTCTATGCTGTAACTCATGCGGTCGCATAGAGTAAGGAGTCAGAGCCATTTTTGGCGCTGACCACATATATGCGGCCGCATGGATGTTTAGTCTATGCGGTCGCATAGACTAAATGTCCACAAATTTTATTTATTTTTAATAATAAATGAATATGAAAATGTACCAACACCCTTAATTCCCAAAAACACGACTCGACTTACATTTTTTCAAATTCTTTGACTTTCTGTTTGTAAATTTGACCCGGCTTCTTACCTACCCCAAAAATTTTGAAAATTCTTTAACGCACATGGATATGTGCCGGTCAATTGATGTGATATCAAAACCAAATTTTTGAATTAAATTTAAACCACTCTCTTGAAGATTTTACGAAAAATGACTATGTGTTTCGAAATACGTGAATTTCACACTAAATCACCCAACAACAACTTCAACCAATCTTAACTCGTGCTCAATGCCTAGGGGCTCGTGTGGATAGTGCTTAGCCTCTTTTGACATGTATAGATGATCGATGACCTCCTGACTAAAAGTGTAAAACATGAAATTGAAAATTTCCTAGGCTAATGTAGAAAGCAAAATAAAACAAAAATAAAATGATACAGTAGGTTGATTCCCACTCAGCGCTAGTTTATAGTTGATAGCTCGACTTCTTCACTTCTGCTTCAATTAGGTGTCTCGAGTTTAATGGTGGACTTTTACTTGGAAAAGTCACCGCCCTAGTAGTGTTTCAGCCTTTGTCCATTAACTGTGAATGTTCCTTTTGTTTCATGACTGACCTGTATGGCTCCATATGGCAAAACTTTAGTGACAGTGTGAGGACCCGACCACCTTGATCTCAATTTTCCAGGGAAAAGCTTGAGTCTCGAGTTATATAACAGAACTTTCTACCCCACTTCGAACTCTCACCTCTAAATATGTAGATCATGCCACTTTTTGATGCGTTCTTTGATAAGCTTCGAGTTTTCATATACTTCCATTCTAAATTCATCTAACTCATTGAGCTGCAATAAACGTTTTTCACCGGCGACCTTCAAATCCATGTTCAACTATTTCATAGCCTGGTATGCCCAGTGTTTTATTTCCAGTGGGAGGTGGCACGCTTTTTCAAAAATCAGGCGGAATGGAGACATGCCTATCGGTGTCTTGGATGTTGTCCTATATGCCCACAATGCATCGTCCAATTTTTTAGACCAGTCCTTTTGGGAAGAATTCATTGTAACCTCTAATATTCTGTTCAACTATCGATTAGACACTTCAACTTGTCCGCAGGTTTGTGGATGATATGGGGCTGCTACATGGTGTTTAACTCCTTATTTACTCAATAATTGCTCGAACTGGCGATTGCAAAAGTGTTTACCCCCATCACTGATTATTGCGCAAAGATGTTTTTCTTCAAAAATCCAATTACCACTTTTGCATCATTTGTTGGTAATGCAACTGCTTCCACCCATTTTGAAACATAATCAACTGCGACCAGGATGTACTGATTTGAAAATGATGGGAAAAACAGTCCGATAAAGTCGATTCCCCAGACATCAAATATCTTGACTTCCAATATGTTGTTTAGTGGCATCTCATTCCTTTTTGAGGTGTTCCCAATGCGTTGTTATCTATCACACCTCTTAACAAACTCAAAGGCATCTCTGAACAATGTAGGCTAATAAAACCCTGTCTGTAAGATCTTTGCAGCAGATTTTGAGCTCCCAGGCGCCAGGCGTAGACAGATGAATGACAATGCTCAAGAATCTAGGGTACTTCATCTTCAAGTATGCATCTTCTCACAATTTGATCAGCCCCTCGCCTATACAGAATAGAATCTTCCCAAAAGTAATATTTTAGTTCGGCAAAGAACTTCTTCTTCTAGTAACTCGAGTAATTTGGCGGTGGGATTGACTTAACCAAATAGTTGACAATGTCTGCATACCATGGGGCCTCATCTACTCATCTGGAAAAATTTCGTTGATATCTACTAACACTTTTAGTTCTTCATGTTCTAATCTCGATAGGTGATCTACTACCACATTTTCACTGTCCTTCTTATCTCAGATTTCAATGTCGAATTCTTGCTGGAGTAATACCTAACAGATTAATCTCGGCTTAGCATCCTTCTTTGTCATTAGATACTTCAATATGGCATGATCTGTGTAGACTATGACCTTAGATCCCACGAGATATGATTTGAACTTGTCAAAGGCATAGACCACCGCTAAGAGCTCCTTCTCAGTGGTTGCATAGTTGATCTGGGCATCATTTAATGTTCGGCTTGCGTAATAGATCATCACATGGAAGATCTTGTTCTTTCACTGTCCAAGTACTGCACCTACGACATGATAACTCAAAAGGCAATTCCCAATCAGGTGCTACAATTACCGGTGCTGACGTGAGTTTTGCCTTCAAAGTGTTGAAGGTTGTCATACATTCATCATTAAATTCAAAGGGTACGTCTTTCATTAACAGGTTACAAAAAGGCTTGATGATTTTTGAAAAATCCTTAATGATCACCTGTAGAATCCAGCATATCCCAAGAAGCTGCGAACCCCTTTAACTGATGCTGGTGGCGGTAACTTCTCAATAACCTAAATTTTTGCTTTTTTCACCTCAATCCCTTTTGTTGAGACTCGATGCCCAAGTACAATCCCTTTTTGCACCCTGAAGTGACATTTTTCCTAGTTTAATACCAAATTGGTTTCCCTGTATCTTTGTAATACCATATTCAAGTGTTCCAAATATTCGTTAAATGAAGACCCAAAGACTGAGAAATCATCCATGAATATTTCGATAAAATTTTCTACCATATCTGAGAAAATAGCCATCATGCATCGTTAAAATATGGCAGGGGCATTACGAAGGTCGAAAGGCATCCTGCGGTATGTGAAAATACCATAGGCGCAAGTGAATGTTGTTTTCTCTTGATCATTTGGTGCCACTGGTATCTGATTGTACCCTGAATACCAATCGAGAAAACAGTAATGCGAGTGGCCTGCCAATCTCTTCAGCATTTGATCAATAAATGGAAGGGAAAAGTGATCTTTTCTTGTAGCTATGTTGAGTTTACGATAATCGATGCAAACCCTCAATCCTGTCATTGTTTTGGTCGGTATCAGCTCATTCTTCTCATTTGGCACTACTGTGATTCCACCTTTTTTTGGTACCACCTGAACTAGGCTAGTCCATGCCCTATCTAATATTGGATAGAAGATTCCAGCATCTAGAAGTTTGAATATCTCTGCTCTAACCACTTCCTTTATATTTGGGTTCAACCTTCGTTGACTCTCTATAGTTGGCCGAAAATTCTCTTCCATGAGAATCTTATCATGCATAGTGAAGGGTTGATCCCTTTAATATTTGATATGGTCCATCTAATTGTTGTCTTATTTTTCCTTAGTACCCGAAGCAGTTTCTCTTCTTTCACTTCACTGACTGTGTTTGAGATGATGATAGGGAGTGCACAAGACTCCCCCAAGTAAGCATATCTGAGATGTGGTGGTAGCTATTTGAGTTCTAATTTCGGTGACTGCTAATGGAAGGTAGTGTTTTCGTGGGTCTTGTCCCAAGCTCTTCAAAATGCATTTTGCCTGTATATGGTGGGTTAATATCCAAAAACTTTGCACATGTTTTCATCTCCACTGAATCGGACTGCATTGACTGGGAGTGTGCAATGCTAGCTTTATAGGCATCCGATGGATTGTACAGCAAAAATGAGTCTTAAATCACCTTGTCAATCACATCTATTTGGAAGCATCTGTCTGACTCTGTAGGTAGTTTCATTGTCTTGAAGACATTAAACGAGATCTGCTCTTCTCCTAGTCTCAGAATCAATTGCCCATTCTGAACATTGATCACAGCTCTACTTGTTGCCAAGAACGGTCTACCAGGTATCAATGGGATGTCCTTGTCTTCCTCCATGTCTAAGATTAGGAAATCTGCTGGGAATATGGATTTTTCAACTTTGACAAGCACGACTTCTATTATTCCCCTAGGTTGTGTCAATGACTGATCAGCTAGTTGCAGTATCACTGTAGTTACTTTAGCCTCTCCCAAGCCAAGTTTCTTGAAAACAAATAGAGGCATTAAATTAATACTTGTACCAAGATCACATAAAGCCTTTTCAAAATAAACTTCACCAATATTGCAAGGAACAATAAAACTTCCTGGATCTTTCAATTTCGGTAGGAGCTTTATCTGAATTATGGCATTGCACTCCTCTGTTAGCATCACTGTCTCATGATCTCTTAGCTTGCGTTTATTTGATAGTATGTCCTTCAGGAATTTTGCATAGCTAGACGTCTAGAATAGTGCATCGACGAGCAGAATATTGATGTGGAGCTTTTTGAAAACTTCAACAAATTTTTTGTATTGTTGCTCCAACTTCTACTTCTTTTGCCTCTATGGGAAAGGTATGGGAGGTTCATGAGGGTTGACGAAAAATAGTGGATTTTGGCTTTAAGAACGATGCCTATTGAGTACAGCTCGGTGACCACGACATGCGAGCTGAAAAGAGTTTTTCAAATTATGCGATTCTGATAACTGTAGCCACAGTTATGGCCAAATTACCAAAACTCGTTCAAAACTACCCCAAGTAGGAAAATATTGCGATCACTTTCCATCTTTGCGCCAATCTGCCATTCATGTTATCTTAGCGCAATCTATTTGCTATCTGACAACTCATCATCGCTTGATTTGGACCCTCCTGCATCAAAATTTGCATATGAAATTGGTTTTGACCAATTTTGAATTATTTAAGTGGAAATTGTTATTTGGTGAGTGAAAAATTTGGCGATGACCAAATTATGGCAAACTCGACAACAACCCTATTTGCAATAGTTTCTCTTGACTTTCGTTTTATCAATAAATATGAGAAACTAGATTATATTTTTATGTGCAAATTCATATGCCTTTTCTTGTCAATTTTCCAACAAACAGTGAACATATTCTCTCATCATTTTTTATTTTGCTGGAATATTCAAAGAGCATGATAAAAGATATTTGTATACACGAATAATGGATAGTTGAATTACCAAAATAACAATGTTAAAAGATGGCATTTATGCATTTATGTAGACCTGAACGAGTGCTTTTTTGGCATCTCTTAAAGCGAATAGAATATAAAATGCATACATTATCGTCTTAACATTGTTGAGAAAAAAAGTCTATAAATTATATTCAGATAACATACCTTTTATGTTCATAAAATTGGACATAATTTTGACTTACCAAATTTGAATACATAAAGTAGAAAAGAGAAATGCATGAATATGAAATTGGTTGAGGCAAGAGTTCAACTCTTTCTCCTTAAGACGATGATGCCCCGCACGGGTGCTAAGATACAACGATCACATCTCGTAATATGAGCACTCCAAATTACGTACACCAACGAACCTACTTATGTTTTAAACCCTCTCATATGAAACTTGACTCCAAATAAATGTTCCAAATATTTTGAAGTGAATATGCATTAACATGTGTAATGATAAAAAAGTGAATGAATTAAACTTCCATACATGTGGTCTATATATAGATGTTGAAAAGGTTTGTCAGAAAAGACATAAGCCACAGAAGGGACACAACTATCGGAATTAGTCTCTTCATTTGAAGAGACACATCTATTGAAAAATAATGATGCCAAAAGTTACAATCTTTCATATAGAAAGGCCACACCCTTTCAACCAAATAATTTCTAGAATATTCCATAATATTCTATATAGTTTTCCAATAATCCACGTATTTAAGTGGCTTAAATTTTGCTTAAATTTTCCATTCACCAAATAACTAATTCCACTTAAATAATTAAGAATTGGTTAAAACAAATTTCACATACAAAATTTCAACACTCTCAAAATAGTAATTGGATTTTTTGGAGAAGGTTGAATTGAGGGGTTTCGTGAGCGAGGTGGGTTGGTTGAGTGGGGATGGTGGTGGAGAAGGGAGAGGAGGAAGAAGAAGAAGAAGAAACAGAAGAGAAAGAAAAGAGAACTTGTTTTTAATTTTCAATTTTTTGATAATTTATTTAGAACCTGTTTGCATTATTTGAAAAATTATGTAGTATGGTTGCAATCATTTTTTTATTTTTCTTCATCATTTTGCAGTATTTATTGATAAATTGGAAGAAGGTAGATGTTTTCGCGATCAAATGCTTAAATGAGGGTGGAAATACAAAAAAATGTAATGTTGGGACGTTTTGCAAAATAAACTTGATACATAGCAACTTGTGCTAACTGCCCATAACTAATAATAAAGACAGATTTCAAAACGTTTATCAAAACCTACTAAAAATTTATTATACGAAATAGGGGCAAAGACTTCTAGATTAGGTAGAACTATTGTCTAAGTATCATGTTTAGACATAAAAAGTTATCAATAATTATTGATTGTTTTACAATAGTTCCTTTTGATGACTATATACACAATAATTATTTCACTAAAAATATTATTTTAAAAAAAATAAATGGGGAAAAATATCAAATAAAGGGAACAAGAGTACACTTAATTTTTAGAATATCGGAGTACTAAAAAAATCGTGCATTATTAAACCTTGTAAAAAAACCAAAGCAGCAGAACCTAATATTCTTGGAAAGATAATCAGCTTTCAGCTAACTTAGCCTACTCTATCCCTCGAAATCAATACGGGATAATACAAAACTATTCACTTCTTGTCCACTAACTGAGCTTCTTGCATGAACTTAGGCCCTAACTTACCTCTGTGGACGAACCTTGTGGAGGACTCCTTGGGCTTTTGGGGCATTTGATTTCTACTAATGTTTGTGTTACTCGAGTTGAAATTCTCGCCACTTCATCTACAATTGCGGACTTTTTTTCTAAGGTAGAAAGCTCCCCTACATAAGTATTTTTACACCCACAACTTCATTGTTTTGCCTTATTCATCTTTAGGCCAAGATTGAAGTGGAATGAAGAGAGGGACCCCAGTAGACCATAAAGAGTCCATACAATATTAGATAGTTTGACAAAAATCCCTAATGTTACAGATGGAGGCGAATGATTGAGTACCAGAGTTTGAGCTTTAACTGTTGGAGTGTTTATGAGCGGGAGAAGCAAACCATGTTCTTAAGGCATCAACAAATTTCTTTTGCACAGGAACTAGTCCATGTCATAACTAAGTAAGGCATAAGGACGGAGAGTTTATCGGATAGTTTTTTTTATTTGAGTAGAAATTAAGCTATATGTTAGCTTCCATGGGTTACCTTAGATAATTTGGTCTTCAGATGGATTATGTGAGAATGGGAGCGTTCAAAAAGAAATAATCAAGATGCATCCAAACTTCATTGGATGTAGTGGCAGAGGCTACGAGATGGATGTTAAGTTTGGTTAAGAGACATGGATCTTATTGAGGAGGATCTTGTGTATCATTTTTAAGAAAAATGTGAGGAGTTTGGAGTTGCAACACCATTAAATAAGTGTATTTTATACATTTATTTAAGGCTTTAAAATAATGAAATTTAGTTGCTTCTCAAATGAATATGGTCTAAATTATTGCATTTGTTATCGAATAGGTAAAATTCAATGACGGTACAAGAAATTGAAGGAAATAAGCAAAAGTTGGCAGTTGAAAAAAGAAATACTAAAAGAGATTCAAAGTTTGGGGACTAAAGTATAAATACTAAAAAGTTGTGTCGGACCTTACGATGAAGATTCAAGAGTTCTTGGAGTCAATTGAAAAAAGAAAGACATCAAAAGGATGAAATATAATCAAAGTATGATCACACATCAAGTTCCAACCGAAAAAATGTATGCACCATTTTTAGGCTCATATTGAGACCCATTTTGACATAACAAATGATCAAATTTGAAAGTGGTATTTGAGGAAAATTTGTAACCCTTTGAGTTAGCTTTCCAATGCATTTTGAATTGCCTCAATCGAATATCGGAAGAAAATGTTATGGTAAAAAGATTGAATGCTGTGCAATACAATCGAAACTGATGACAATGCCCAGGCGCTATCCTGCAGTGCCCAAGCGATATGTTTCTAATTTTTCTTTTGAAAGTCAGCGCTCAGGCCCCCAATTGTAGCACCTAGATGCCTTGCTATAGTCAAATAGGGGTTTTAAGTGAAATTCATTATTTTAAAAGCCCAACTCAACTAAAACTCTTCCAAGACTTGAAAAAGACATAAATATAACCCTAGAGAAGACAATTGGGGGATTCCACACATTGAGAGGCAAACATATACAACTAGAGATTGAGAAAGCATGATGAAAGAAGAGAAAAGCACATAATCATCATGATGCAAACCCGATAGCAACGAACACTAAAGAAACCCACAACTAGATTGACACGATTCTCAAGAAAGCCAAATAATCGATGGTTTTGGATTTAATCCCCAATCAATGAATTAAGCAACCAAAAGTATATAAACTAATGACCTCTTAATTACATGGAATAAGGACCTCACTCGGATGATTGTGAATGCCAGAAGAAATAATGAATTCCTTAATAAGTTCAATTGATTTAGTAAGAACAAGGATTGGAAGCAAAGTCGCTCCTTTGATAAAATCTCTCAAATTGTCCAAAAGTTCCATACAATGGAAAATAAATCCTATTTATATGAAACAATAAAAAACCTAATTAAAATTGGTAAAAGACGTCCAAAATAATCTAATAATATGGAAAGATTAGAATTCTAAGTAAAACAGGAAACTCGTACAAAAATCAAGTTTCGGCCCTGGAAATTGTCTATGCGACGACATCATGTATTTTCATGTGGTCGCATAGACCACACGAAATGCCTGTGTTAGATCCCTATTGCCCTCCATGCGGTCACATGGCTGGGATACCCATGCAACCGCATGGCTATCTGGCTAGACTCCGACACGCTAACACTCAATTTATTTTGATCCCCTTGCTTCGGCTTTCATCTCTAACCCTCTTCTTGGACCTTGGCTCTTCACTCCTTGATCCCCAAAGCTCGACTAAGCATTTGTGTACCTTTGGTAACCTCCTGAAGTCTCGAACCCGACTTTGGCTTCTTCCAATCAATCAAAAAATTCTTTATTATCAGCGGCACACCCAGATCATATCATCCCCTCCCTCTTCGAAAGGATTCATCCTCAAATCTGGAACTTCATGATCAAATTTGCACTTCTTGCCTTCAAGCTTTGCAATGATATGGCATGTTTTATGCTCCTCCCATTTGCCACTTTGGGACAAGCTCACCTTTATGTCCTGCTTTCCATCTGCTAGAACTTTATCCAACCCTTGCT